ACCAAGAGATCAAGGGGATTTGGTTTCGTCACTTTCGCTACTAAGGCAAATGTAGGTCGTTGACTTTTTTCTACCTTAATTTTTAATCATTCTATTACGTGTAGGTTGATGCTGCCATGGCTGCCCGTCCTCATGTCATCGATGGAAAGACTGTTGATCCTAAACGTGCTGTTCCCCGAGATGACAAAAATCGTAATGAGTCAAACGTCTCCACCAAGCGGTTATACGTTAGTGGAGTTCGTGAAGACCATACAGAGGAGATGTTTACTGAATACTTCAGCAAATTTGGAAATGTTGTGAAAGTGAGTAGATTTGATCGATTTAGTTTCTTGTTCACTACTCATCTTTTTTCTTTCAGTCCGAGATCATTCTTGATAAAGTGAGCAACAAACCTCGTGGGTTTGGGTTTGTCACTTTTGATGATTACGATCCGGTTGATCAGTGCGTCTTGCTCCGAAGCCACATGATCAATGGATTCCGATGTGACGTTAAGAAGGGTCTATCAAAGGACGAGATGAACAAAGTGGTGAGTTTTGGTTTTTATGGATTATCTGAGCAAGTTGTGATGTTTTGAATTCGCAGGCCCAAAGTAATCGTGATCGCATGGACAGAATGGGTCGATCTCGTGGAGATCAACGTGGTGGATATGGAGGCCCCGGAGGAGGCTGGGGTGGACAACAAGGTGGACAGGGTCAACGTGGAGGTTGGGGACAACAAGGTTATGGCCAGCAGGGTCAGTTTTGGAAACAAACCTGATCTTCTTGGCTTACTGACTTTTGACTATCATGCTTTATTTACAGGATATGGTGGTCCCCAAGGTGGTTACGGGCAGCAAGGCGGCTATGGAGGATATGGTCAGCAACAAGGTTGGGGCGATCAGTCGGGATGGGGGCAGCAATCGGGAGGAGGTGGCTGGGGTGGTCAAGGCGGAGGCTGGGGTCAACAGTCAGGTGGATGGGGAGCTGGCCAACCCTCTGGACAGCAACAATGGGCCAATGCTCAAGGGGGTGGCAGATACTAGCGTGATCTCATTCCGACGCTTTTCAAGTGCTTGTGTGCGTGTTGTGGTTTACCACGAAGTGTTGTCTGATCTTTTCTTTCTTTGTTAAGTATCTTGTTGTCGTTCCTAACGTCATTGCTGACGTGTATCTCTTCAAATTACTGCTAAGCTGTATATAGAGTTGGAATAAATAATTCCACTTCTCCTAAAAGCAGTTATGTAAGGCTTGGCCACTTCTATTTGGCAAAAGCAGTTGTTAGTGTATGATGCGTTATTTTATGATCTGTGGAAATTGTGAAGTAATATTTATTAATAAAATTGACGTTGAAGATCAGTTGTTTTCACACAGCAACGAGTCATGACTGCAGTCGTCACGCTGCATATGACAGTTTTGTATCCATCGTATTCTGAGCAGTTGAGGCTGAATGAAAATGGATCCAAAATTTTTTCCCTGTTTATAGGTAGGGTTTCTCCTACTGAAGTGTTGTCTGTCAAATGTTTATCTTCATTTATTCCGATACACGACAGTATAAAATAGGTGTTTTCTTCTATTTTCTGCTTTGCATCTGGGCTTTTTTACTACAGGTCAATGGCTGAAGTGTTTGGTCTCATTGCCGCGGGAAGATCGGTATATGATTCTTAAGAGAGTGCTCTTTTTTAAATCATTGAGTTTTGTTTGTTTAGCCTTCCCAATTTGTACAAGTTGGAGAAAGAGAATTCCTATGTGAGATTGGAGATGCTGCGAATGTGAATCATGTAGTTGTTTTCATGACTGGCTTACATAACTTTCCTGATGGCATGGGGTGTTCAGGTTGGAGGATTTTTTCAAGATTCCGATTCGACTCATATTAGTTTATTGCTTTTCGTTGCTTACATAAGAATATTCCGTTTCTCAGCATTGATTGCTTCAGTGTATGTTCGTTGGCCATCACCAGACAATCAAGACGCTGGATGGCACTATCTGGGCTTTGTTTGCAATGCAAAACCGAGCGTGATTTTTAAAATTGCTCAGGTAAATCATATTTTTTCGAAACTCTCCTCCGAGAATAGTGCGATAAGTACTTTTAACGGAAGTTCAGAGAAGGTTTTTCGTAATACCTTATGAGGACTTTTCTTCCAAAATAACGAGCGAATTCTTTTCAATCATTTTGTTCAAAGCGATGCTACTGTTATCAAAAGGTCATTAGACTTGTTTGAATTGTTAAAGTGAGACCTTGTTCACACAAAATCTGTACCTTCAGTCAATCTAGATCCACCTAATATACGCATTTGTTTCCTGTCATTCGATCAGAAATATTTTCATATCGGGCGTACGCTATCCATTTAAACAGGAACTCATACTTTTTGGCTTTGGGCTTTATGGTTTTTTTATTGCAACAAGGTGTCTTTTCTAGTAAAGTTCAACACGAAGGTTGATTGAAAGTAAAATTTGATAATTCATTGTGGCACGTCTCGAGGCATTTTTGGAGCCAAGAATCATCTCGTGAGAGGCGTAATTTATTATTTGTACTTATTTAGGCTCTCTGTTTACTCCTCAGGTTCGGGAAAACGAAATCTTTTCTAGTGTTAAGGTAGTCATCTTCTTTTAACAATAGCATTCTTCTTGTGACAGGTTT